CCCTTGTATGCTTCTATTTAATACTTTTTTCCTGCTGGACATTAAGCAACAGCGGAGAACAACGGTTGTGCATAGGGGGAAGTGAGATCTGGGCAAAGCAGAAGTGAGAGCAGGGTAACAGTCCCTTGTTTTAAGATGAAATTCTAGGTTTCCTGACATGAAATCTTTGGTTTACACAAAATATGCCTAAAAGAGGCATCTTGTTTGCATTCTTTGTAATCAATTGTTTTTCTCTTCCTTCGGTAAAACAAAAGGAAAAGTCTTTGAAACAGATGAGATTGCTTATACCAGCAGGCTGCCTTCTAAACTGCTAAGGCAAAATCAAGGTGAAAGAACTGCTCTGCTTTGTTGAGCAAGCTGCTTTCAAAACCAGGATAGAAAAAAAAAAAAACAAAACAGTCGATGCTGCGGCTCTAAAATACCGGTTTTCACAGTACTAAAAAGCCTGGAAAGCTTTCAGAAAGATGAATCCCCCAGTAAGAGTACCACATCTGTGCTGCTCCTTGGAAAAAATTGTCAGTAGCATTACAGCATTATTCCCAAGAAGCTTGAATGTAGGTGACCTGCCAGGTTTCATAACTGACCTTATGATGTGGACAGATGAGATAAACCCAACAAATCATCTTCCTTTTCACAGAAAAAATAAGTTAGAGAGGCTCATTGTATTGGCTACAGCTGGGCTGCCTTTGGGGCACTCCTTTTCCTAAATAACTGCTAGAGATGGGAAGATGCTTTGTAGCTCTCTTTATGAGTTAAACATGCATATATGTAACCCTTTGAAAGGGTTGATAACAGCAGGACGAGGGGAAATGGTTTTAAGTTGAGGGAGGGTAGATTTAGGTTGGATGTCAGAGGGAAATTCTTGACAGAGAGAGTGGTGAGGTGCTGGAACAGCTGCCCAGAGAGGCTGTGGATGCCCCATCCCTGGAGGTGTTCAAGGCCAGATAGTGTGGGGCCCTGGGCAGCCTGGTCTGGTATTAAATAGGGAGGTTGGTGGCCCTGCATGTGGCAGGGGGGTTGGAGATTCATGATCCACCTTCCAATGCAGGCCATTCTGTGATATCTTTGAATTACAGCTGTTGTCAGTGAATAATTTTATTTTGATTTTCTTTTTGTTTTGGTGAAATTTCTTATCTGATAGAGTCGCTTTCTTTGTAAAATTTCATTTAAACTGTGTTACCTATGTCAAACTGAAGGCAAATTGTCAGTTCTGTTCTTTTAAGTGATCTCTGATGTATTTTGCTTGCCTAAAGTGCCATGAAAACAGTCACTGTGCTAGCTGGTCTGACTGAAAGTCCTTTGGTTGGCATGAGCACTCGGATTAACATTTGGCAAAAGCTGAAAATCTGGCACTGTCTGCAGAGAACCAGTTTCAGTAGGGGTCTAACTGGTTCTGTAGCATCTAACTGGTTCTGTGCATAATGAAAATTTATTTTGCCTGTGGTGCATTTGCTATTATTTTGGAAGTTCATGCAGACCTGCTCTGCGGTGCTGTTAGTCTTTAAAAGCACTCAAAAATATTTTACAACGGCAGTGTCCAAGAGCTGATCTAAATTGGCTGTGACAGATGACATTCAGGCAAATGAGCAGTGTTTGCCCTCAAGACAGTATGCTGTTCCTGGAGGGCTACGTTGTTCTTGTAGACTAGAAGGTGTTTCAGAAATGCATTAAACTAAAATTGACCCGGTTGCAGGTGCAGCTTCACTGGCTTAAGTGGCTTTGAATCAGCAGGCAGGAAATAGCAGCCTTCCAGGGTTTGCAAACAAAGCCTGCGGGCAGAGATACCAGCAAATTGCAAGCAGCATTTTTGTGAGTCAGCTCACACAGGCACTTCTTCCCTAAAGAGATTGATGAACGGAGGCTGGAGTTAACCTGATGTATCTGAGGACACCATAGGCTTCTTGGTTTCCTGTAACTGTGAACTTGGTCAAAGAAAGAAGCAGAATAAATTCTGCAAACTTGGATTTGAGCCATCTTTGTGCCTTTTCCAATTACACGAAAAATTAAAAAGCTGTGTACCCATCACAGTGTTATGTGTGCCAGTGGGTAGGTATGCTGTTCACATAACAGTTGGTCACCAGTATCTCTCAGTAAGAATAGTTGGTGCTTTCATTGAAAACTATCAATCTTGCTGGACTTATCAAATCCTGGATGGGAAATCTATGCAACTCTATGTTGTAGAGGTTTTAAAGAAAACGTGTTACTTCACATTTTATTCTTGGGATATGGGACAACTTGAGACAAATTTGGAAGTTGCCTTTGACTGGAAGGGTTGTGCATGGAGTCATTTCAGTTTGTATCCAGTGCTGGCTTATTTGCAAGAGCTGGGGCATGTCTCAGCACCTCAGCCAACACTTCTTGTTGGAATAAGGAAGTAACTAGTGACAGAACTAGAGGGAATGGTCTAAATTTGTGCCAGGGGAGGTTCAGGTTGGATAGTAGGAAAAATTTATTCTCTTCTTCCTCTCCTAAAGGATGGTCAGGTGCTGGAGTGGACCACGCAAGGAGGTGATGGAGTCACTGTCCCTGGAGGTGTTTAGGGAACATTCAGATGTGCTGAGGGATGTGGTTTAGTGGAGAAATATTGGAGGTAGGTGCACAGCTACCTCCTGGATGATCGTGGAGGTTTCTTCCAACCTTGGTGATTCTAGCCGCGCTTGCAAAGCCCTAGACTATTGTGGGGAGTTTGCCTGAGCTGCTAGGAACCACAAAAGGAGTGCTCTGGAACAAATGGGTTCAAGGAACTTCTGTTTCTAGCCTTGCAGGGCACACAAGGTCAGCACAAGCTGCTGACTTGAAATGCCTACTCTGCTTCATTGCTGTAATAAACTCATCGAGTGAAATAAAGCCAGAAGGCTGCTGCTGACCCAGGCGTGGCTTTTAACCCCTGAAATGCCTCCTGACCTGCAGCCAAAGGAGGAATTGCTCAGTGTGTGTGTGTAAGGATCTCTTAGGAGCAAAACCTGACAGCACATAGAAAATGACTTTGTTTTTGAAGGCTTCAGGCTGCAATCTTGTGTTTGCAAAAGCATTAGGTGGGGGTGAGGGTTTTGGCCCCCCTCTGCCAACCGAGTGGCCTGTAAGGTGGGGTTCTCCCACCACAATAGGACAGGACTGGACAGGGGATGCTCAACAGCAGCAGTGATAGGGAACCTTGCCAGGAGGTGCCCCATGAGGTGCAGCAATTTGTGGCATGTTGCTTTTCCCATCTCTCCCAGTCAGCTGAAACATTCTGTCTTTTGAATCCATTGGGACAGATTAGTCACCAGTCCATACCCATACAACTGGTGCATTCTGAGTTTGTCTTTTGTTCTGTGTGTGTGTGTGTGTGTGGTTGCTTCTCTGTTGGTTTATGCTCTAGATTACCAGAAGCAGGGAGTGTCTCCTACTGATATTTTCACATTTCCATGAGGGTAGAAATTGAACGCAGCCAGGGTAGCTTGGCCCAGCTGCCGGCTCCTCTGCATACCTTCAATCATTTCCTTTTTCCCTCTTTTCTATCCCTTTCTCTCTGCTCCTCCTCTTCCTGCCCCTCTTTGCCTCCCCTCCCTGTGCTTCCCTGGCGGCACTGCTGGCTCTGCACAGGCCCTGTTCTCTAATCAGATGAAGCTGCAGGATTATCTCTCTCCCTCCCTTCTAAGCTCCATTTTATTTCCTCTCCAGCCAAGGGGGAGGCAGGAAGGGGCGTCACCTCTAGGCAGAGGAAAACCCATCTCCCAGTCTCCTGCCTTTGATGCTCTCTAGCAATCCCCCCTCCTTCCCCTTATATACTCACCTTAGTGTCAACAGCATCAGGCGGATCAAAGAGCCCAATTTCTAAAGGAAATCTGAACTTTTTTTGGCTTTCATTCTCCACAAATTTCTGAGCATCTATTTTAAACCCCCTCCAAGTAGCTTGGACAGGGAAGCTGGATGTGCCATCTCTGAGTAGGGGCAAGGTAAGGACCACGGGAGTCACGCATTGCCTGTTCTCTCATCTCCTGTAAGGATGCCGTTTTTCCAGCAGGTCTCTGACAGCAGCAAAGCAGATGAGGGGAAGGGAGAGAAACTGCACAGAGACAGAGCCAGGCTTCTGTAAATGCTGTACTGGCAGCAGGGGGTTGGTAAAAAGCCTAAAAAGCCAAGGAAACTGTAGTTCTCTTTTTTAGTAAGATATGAGACCGATGGCTCAGAACTTTAATGGAATTTAATATAGTTCTACACATTGTGGGGTTTTTTTCCTGTGCTTGTGTCTTTAACTGAGGTGTGTATGTATATGCCTGGTAGCGAGTATTTGTAGAATAGACTTGTCACCCTATTTCTAGATTGTGTGTGGCTTTAAGTGTTACTTTTTGGTGCTAATCTACTGGAGAATGGTTTCTTTTCTTTACCACCAAGCATACCACATGCTGGGTTTTTTTAATTCCTAAGAGGTTAATGCCTCACACTGGAAGAAAAACAGGGGAATACTTCAATGCCTTCAGAATGTCAGCTTTGTTTTTACACTCTTCTCTCCCGAGTAAATAATCAATTACTATTTAGGACAACCTTTAATGTTTTCATCTCAGATAGGAACTTGTATTTTTAAAAGCTGAAAGTTCGATTTGGTTTGGCTTTTATTGCTGTTAGTCAGTGTTTTTCATCAGAAATCACTGTAGAAGACTGTTTTGTGCATACGTCACAGTTCCTAACCTGTGATTAAATGTAAGAATTTGTGCTGATGCACTTGTGGGTTTGGGGGAAGAGGTTTGAAAGGGGTGGGGAAAGCAAACGTTTATTTCTGCATTCAGAACTTAGAGCATAACAGATTGGCCGGGAAGATAACTATTGGATATTCTTCATAATATGTTGAGGTTTGCATAAAAATGATGAACCATACAAAGATTAAAATCTACCTTTCTTTCCAGTGACTCTCATTTTGATGTAATTAGCCAACGCAAAAATATCGGTGATTTCCTCTCACCAGGATGTAGATGAGTCTGCAAGTAGTTGTTTGCACGTTTAAAGTTAAGCAGTAGGACTGCAGTCAGATCTGAGGAGTCTGTGTGTATAATAATTAGGTTAGGGGGAGGTTTCATTTAAGAGGCTGGATTTGTTGAATGCTTTGTTTTCTATGCCATGGCTCAGTCACTCTGTAAAAGCACTGTTCTCTAATTGTAAGGTTTTGTTGATTTTGCTACCCAGACATTTTTACTTGAGCTGTGCTCTAGCAGAGTTGTAGTTAGAGTGTAGATACTGATGCTTTCCTAGGGCTGCACAAACAACAGGAGCAGTAAATGCCATATGGTATTGTAGTGTTTGAGCTGGCTTATGGTATCAAATCTGATGAGTATTCATTAGTTAACCACTCCAAATCCACATTTTTCCTTACATGGTAAATTATATTATTTCAAAACAAACTTGAAAAACAAGGATGTATGAGGGGAAGTGGAACAAATGCAAATCGTTATTTATGATTATTATACTTCTGAAAGTTAGTTCTTTCTTGGTTGAGAGCAACAACAGAATGATGCACCTTAGAGGTAGCTTTAAAGCACTCCAGATGTGTAGAAGTATTTGCTATACCAGTCAGATAATGTTATACTTTCTGCAGGATAGTTCTGTACAGAAGAGCAGAAAAATCCTCTTTCTTCTTCAGCAACTCTTCTGGAGATTAGAGGCTGAATATGAAGATGGAGTGTATTTGACCGATCCCTTGCATTTGGGTATTGCCAGTTGCTATGCATCTTTCAGGAGAATGCAGTCTAGGAAAGCAGCTTTCAAAGACAGTTAGTTCTGTTAATGGTGTTTATTCATTTTCCATAAGCATTTTCCAATGAATCAGAAAAAAAACTAAAATCCTATTGCTGTTACTATGTACCACGCTTTTATTGTTGCAAGTCACCTTAAAGGGACTGGGTGATTTTCTGATTTCCCCAAATCAATCAAAGTTTGTATCTTCGGAAGCTGTATGCAATATTTTGCATGTATGTCGTGCCAGACCAGTCTATTCCCAAGAACAATGTAGCATGAATCATAGGCTGCAAATGATATTACAATTATTCTTTTATTCTGTCAGCCTCTCACTTCCCCCTCCCCCCTCTCCCCCCTGCTACAGTGAAAAACGCCATGGATTTTGTGAGCCCTGGCATTTTGGTTAATTCTTGTGGCTTCATTGTACAGTAATAAGGAAATTACAGGGGAAGAAAACAGGAATAAGAAAAGGACTATTGCAATTTTGGCCTTTGCAAAATGGAGGTTGTAAACCATCTTACTCTCCAAACAGGCATGTAGAAAGTGATGTTATGAAAGCTCCTGAAACTGCTTTTGTTTCTGTACTAGCAGATCATGTGGATGTTCTTTCCTAAGGTAACATCCTTGATGTTTACTCGACTGTATATTAAGAGTAGTCAGGCAATGCTGATGGGTTTTTAACTCGCATAAATGGTAAAGGTGTGTGCATGTACATTATCCTATGTGAAAGTGCTTTTTAGCTATTAAAATGGCTAGAATACGTGAGTAATCCAAACTCTTGGTGGTCTCTTTGTTTTGTGGAACGTGGAGTGGGGAGGTGATGTTTCATTGGCAAGAGAGATCTTGTTTCTGTGAAACCGAAAAGAGGCAAGGAATGAAAATAAATATTGGAGTACCAGTGGCCAGGAATATCTGTGGGAGGGGTACAATGAGAAGTATTTATTACGGATGTGTTAGAACTGTTGAATTCATCTGAAGATATGCAGCAGTTAGTCCATGTATATGTTAGGAACAGCCCTGTAGGACTTGGACTCTTGAGTAGTAAATGGCAGAGAAGATAGACTCTTTCCTTTACCAAAGCTGTTAAAGGATTTCAGAATAAAGTTCCACTCAGGGCAATTCTTCTTAGCAACAAGAACCTCTGTATATCACTTTGGGACTGCTGAAGTATACACGCTCACTCAGGAGCAGGTGCAGACTAGCTAAATGAAAACATCATCAACCACATCTTTTTCCAGCTTGGTGTTCAGTGTGAGCATCAAGTGCATGAGTATTTCAAAGTGTTGTTCTGCACCTGTGAAGCATCCTAAAAAAGATCACCTTTGAAATGACCTATTGCTCTGTGTCAGATATCTTCCCAAGTTATGGGAAGAAGCTCTGCATCTGATACAGAGCAGAGAAAGGAGTGGGAGACTTTCTCCCGCTACAGAATATTTGCTAATTAATCTTTAGCAAGGGCACACCTATGAAGATTAATGGATTGAGCAGATGTGAGACCTTCATTTGGCTTGCAGAAGCTTTACTCCAGTCAACAATGCATAAGACTGACAGAACTCAGTCCACCTGAGTTGAACCAGACAACTAAACTTCTTTTTCAGCTCATAAACTGTACAAACCTGGTGTGGAAGTTGGAGAGATGGTGAATACACAAGGCTACCATAACTCTTCTGAACTTGGTTATTTTTAGGCTTTTGAAATTATTTTATTGCTTTCTGCAAAGAGTCTGCTGGAAAGTTCAGTGTCTGTGGCTGAGCAGGGTGAATATACAGGGTGGATAAGTGTGTCCTGAAATGTTGTCAAGGACAAAGATGCATGCTGTTTCAGCAGCTTTTCTTGGTTCTGAAATAGCCTTTAAACTGTTGAAAGAGTAGAATGCTTTCTAGCAACAAGAAAGTTGCTAACATATTGGAAAAAAAAATCTTTGGAGTTGCCTCTTTCGTATGCATCTCCTTGTCTGTACAGTACTGGGATTGCTCTTATGACCTGTCAAAACTCGTTCCTGTTTTACCTTGTAGAAGCTGCAAATTCCACTAAACCATTAAAGAAGATCTGTCATTTTGCAATGACAGATGAAAACATAAGGTGATGAAAACAGAAATAACAGAATCATTCAGTTTTGAAGAGACCCTGGGAGCTCATCTTCTGCAATTCCTGCTCAAAGCAGAGATGGATATGAGGCTAGATGAGATTTCTTAGGTTTTTGTCCACCTTTGTCTTGCATACATAAAAAATGCTTGAAGGGCAAAGAGTTCCTATAACATTGAATAATTTTACGTAATTGGTATCTTGTTGCCAGTAGTTAATAGGAGATGCTTACTGAGTTCTTCCAACAGTCCAGGTAGTACAGGTGGGATCTGCCTTTACCCTGCTGATGAGAGGAACCTGCATTGTCTTGCAGCTACTGAATTCCTCTCTTTATACTTCAGTATTTGCATGCCTGATCATGACTAAGTGTTAATAAGGAAGTAGAGGCTACTGCAGCTCATTTTGTGGTTGAAATTGGCTAAGAGGAGAAGAATATAAACACGAGCTCTTGAGGAAGTTCTTCATATTGCACTTGAACTAAAAATTGCAAGTTTGGTCTGCTGCTTTTATGTGTCTTGTTTTTTCTCCCTGTGGTCTCTGATGTCAAAGGCTTTGGATAGCATTTTGTGAATGTAGACCTTCTTCTACCCAAGCTCTAATGCTTTTCTTTTCCCATTCTTGAGACATCAGAGGGATACTCTTTGTTTCTGAAAGCTATAGAGAACAGTTGCCTGCATAGATCTGATTAGACTCTACAGTAACTGGGAAAGCTTTTTTGAGACATCACATTTTGGCATAATAAGCACTACATGTCAAAGCATCAGTTCTGAGAAGAAGTTTCCTCTTCCCAGTTTCTGCTTATTCTTTGCTTCTGTAGTTTAAAGGCAGCTTATACTACACTAGGGCAAAAGGAACCTCTAGCAATGCTATCAAAAATGATTGAATAAACTTTTTAAAGTCCATTTCCTTACCTACATGATTAAATGCATATATCACTTATCCCACTGAACAGAGATTGCAGTGTGAACCCAACCTTAAATTTGCTACAGAAGCTTCTCTAGCTTCTGCCAAAGTGAAAAGTTCATCCAAGTAAATGAAAGCTTGCAAATGAACAAAGGTCTGCAAGGCAACATGATCTCTAGTTGTGTCAGCTCTTGTGTCAGCTTATAAAAAAATGTAATGAATCTACTTGTAATAAATC